GCAGTTGAATGGCGTGAATTATCGCATGAAATCTAAGCAGCATTTAGAAAAAAAGAGAAACCAGTAAATATGGTTGAAGGATCCGCTTGAACGGCTATGTAGAATTATATAAATGCGCGAATGGTCGAAGATGAAGAATGGTGAAGTTCTGAACTGCATTTGTGGGAGGAAGTAATGTGACAGTGAAACAGCATCTGATCATTGTTCCAAAAGGGGAGACGGAGACGCTCAAAAGCCATTCGCATTACAATTTTTGAGACTTGCGTTTAAAATCATGTGCAATTTCAGTTTTTTTTTTTAAAGCAGGCAGGTCGAAAGTCAAAATGACCTTCCACATTTCGCTGTTCCTGAGAAATTGAGAATTTTGAAAGTAGCGTCATTAATAGTACACGGACAACAGTAAATATCTCCTGACTAGACTTTAAGGCTTGTTCGGGACTTAGTCCTATCCTACCGAGCGATTGTACATATCGTGCATGCGCCTCTGCTAATTTATCATCGAAATGAATGGACAAAAAACGTAAAGGGACTGGCACTGGCAAAATGGAACCCCCAATATTCAGCGCATGAGCAGTCTTAATGTGTTTTTTCTCCTACAGTCTTTCCTGTGTTGTATTGTGCTTCTTTTGCAGCGTAAAATCATTGTCAACATTCGAATCAATGAAACTGAGCCAGGCTCGACGTCAGCGTGAGCTAGAACAGGCACAAGACGATCGAATTATCAAAACACATGTGAATGCTCTGTTTGATGCATTATCGGTATATGTTGGATCGAATGAGTGCTTAGATACGTCGCTTGGTATCAGTGAAATTCGAGCTACAGTCATAATGAAAGTGGTATGTTTCGAGATTTTGGGATCGCATTCAGCTACGTACTGTCCTTTATGTTTCATCATTCCATCGATGCTGCACTTGGCAACTTCTTCATTCTTTATTATGCATTGTGTGCAGTGTCCCTATATGTATACGTATGTGCCTGAGTGCGTTCAACTGGGCTACCACAAAAGCTAGGAAGCTGAAATTTTAGAGGGTTGTTCCTCGCCCATGTGCAACCCCCTTAAATTCAGCCCCTCTCCCTCCGCCGCCTCCACCCAAGTCTCACGTAAGGCTCCGTGAAAGTTTTGGTATAGGAAATTGTTATCTCAGGAGCCACAAAAACTAGAAGCTGTTCGCCACATTAGAGGCATTTTGTTTGGCTACGCTAGTGAGATAACTCGTTTATTCGATTTGGTATTGAATTCACTACTGGTACCTGCCACGGGCTTGGAACCGACATCGGCCTACTTCCAAAAAACAGCCTTTGAAAGTCGGAGCCATCGAAAGTCCTGCCCAGCAGTTTCTAGCTGCCAGTTATATGCTGCTAATTGGATTATTTTCGAATATTTCGGTTTTTCACAGGTTATGAAAGAAATCCATGAAAAACCGAAATATTCGAAGACAGCCAAAAATTTGACTCTTACTTTTGCCGTATTTTGCAGCGAACGATGGAAGTAGAAGGTGGTGTGAAAGCAATAACAATGGAAGATTGTACAGGACATACAATACACAAACATCTGCTAGCACTCTGT